GCTGAGTCAACCCTGAGCCGGTGAGATTTGAACCGCTGAACTGCTGATCTAGCAGTAGCCTGCAGTGCTGCGTTTAACCACTGCGCCACCTTGGCTCTTATAGAAAGCTCTTATAGAAAGAACAGTTGGAAGAAAATGAGACTACTCAACATATAAATGCCATAATTAATGACTTTACTCCTGTTTTGTTGATTTACTATTGGAGAACTGGGAAGATTAATTTTTCTTTCATATCTTAAAATTTTGATCTCACATTTTTATTAGAGCATTTGGATTTATTTTAGTTGCTTTCCAACAAAACTTAACTGTTGGCTTAGTTAAGATGTAATCACAGATTTATTTGAAGTTACTCTTTACCGTAGAATAGAGAAGAATGTAGTCTGAAATATTATTGGAGAAAGACCAGGGAATTTCAACAAAACAGAAACTTGAGCCACAATTCAGTATATGTTGTGGTGTTATAAGTAACATTTCTAAATAATCATTGCAAATGTCAATATGTGCATGAACTTATGTGTATGATTATGTATAATAAAATAATTATCAGTTGATTTGGAATACCTGAAAAGCATCAAGTCCAGTGAAATTTGGACTTGATGTAGTGGTTAAAAAAAACTAAGTTAGAAACCCAGAGACTATAAGTTCTAATCCTACTTTAGGCACAAAGGCAACAAGATGATTTGGGGCCCGTCACTCCCTCTCAGCCCTCAGAAGTAAAGGGCAATGGCAAACCACTTCCAAAATGTTGCAGAAAAACCTTCAGGGACTTATCCAAACAGTTACCGTGAGTCAAGATTGATTTAGAGCTACCCACCTGAGTGCCCACACACACAAAGGAGATTTGTAATTTGGTATTAGTGGAGCAACAGTGTTTACCTATGATTCTCTTTTCCCTAATAGGAAATTTCCATGCTAGCAAACCATTCCTTTCTAACACTGCCATAATCCACAATGTAGGTGGGCTGCTGATCATACTATGCACCCATAAAATTACATGCATGTTTCTTTTCTTAACACTACAAGTTGAAACTTAAACATTCCAAAATATGAACAGGAATTCTCAGTGTTTTAAGTCAGCCTCTCAATTTGCACCAAGTCAACCACATCTCCCATTTGCCCCAGTTACAATACCTGATTTTCATGACATGGTCCCTGGCAATACTCTGTCAAACTTTCCAGAGTCTGGTTGATCAATGCTACATTTTTCTCATTAATGTACAGCCCAAGCAATCCAAGTCCTCCAGTTGTACTTCCACAAATACAATCTAAAAACTGTAATGTCTCACACACTAGGTTGTAATTAGTCTTGTTGTTTTGGCAACGCAGAAAGTTCTAGAGATGGACATGGCAACAACAGAGAAAGACAAAAGTTATGAATTTTGTTTTTTAAACATAACATTTATTCTCATAATTTTTCAAATTCAATAGTATCTGCTTGCATTTGTACTGGAAACACTTTTCTATCAACACATGGCAAAATAATCCTCTGTATATGCTGTTGTATGTATGAGTAGACTTTCCCATCTAAACAGAAGTGTGAAATTCTGCTGCAACATGGTCCTGAATCGGGAGGCTCTCACAACAGTCACTCGGGCCCTTGTGACCTCTAGGCTGGAATACTGCAATGTGCTCTACATGGGGCTGCCCTTGAAG